GACTAGAGCAGGGCAGGACAGACCAAAAGGTTGGCCTAGAGCCAGACCAGGAGTTTCCCACACTTGTTTTATTTTCTGCTTTGTCATACCCCTTTTCCCTTCTTTCAGTGCTTTGAACCTGGTTGTCAGCTTTTGTTCCTTTCTTATTTCTAGATCCAGTTCAACAGCTGCAGAAAGGTTTAATAGTGTACGAAGAGCCTCAGGTTTACCTCTTTGGCCTCCCTCTTCCCCTCTCCTCTCTGCAAAGCTCTTTAATATGATACGTCATCTGCTGCAGACTGTGGATGTTTGGAGGCATGATACATAACTGGGTAGTCATGCAAGTGAAACTGAGATGAGGGAATTAATTGTTGCCATGCTATTTTAACTCCTTTGGTTTTACTTTTCAATTTACCATTAAAACTTGGAAGAGAATACTTGTGAAAGGTTCAGCTAGTAAACTGGTACAACTTATCTCACGTAAATTAACCTAGTTTAGAACTGAAATTACTTTGTCTGAATTTCTATTTTGGGAGATGAATTTCAAGATTAGTCTTTTTGCAAAGGTAATTAGATTTGAATGTCTAATAGCTGTTACAAATAAGGGTTTGCTGAGACATTGGTGAAAGTCTTTAAAAACCGTTGAGTTTGACGTTAAAGCATCACATCTTACACAGATGAGATGAAAGAGGCAATAGGGTAACTGCTCTGCACGTGGGTTGCTGAGGAGAGTCCTCTAGTAATAAAGTTTGTGCTTTTGCTAAGTATGTTTTTGAAATGTATCTCTGCTTATCTGATGCCAAATGTGTTTAGCTAGGCATCCTCCCCAGCGATGCTAGCAAAGAGTCTTCATGGTACTGTCAACTGTTCAGTGCTCTTACAGCAAAATAATTTTTGCTTCTGTAAATCAAAATTGCTGGAAACGTCAGTGTAAGTCTTGAATCTCCAGTATTAGTAGATGGAAAAATACAGTTATAATTCAAATATTAACTTTAATTTCATCCTGTAGAAGGGAATTGTTCAGTTAACTGGAACAAGCAGCCTCTTTAAGATGACTTTTCATTCTTGCTAGCTTTGGGTAAGTTAAAAATGGACAAAATACAGTGATAGTGGATCAAGTGTCTTTAGTGTATGCTTCTTAAAATGTTATTTTTGTAAAGATCTTCAGTGTGAAGGGGGGGGTTAACCTAATTATCCAGCTGCTTTTGCTGAAGGCTGAGGTAGTGATTTGCATAGCACCAGAATAAATTAACAAGTTCACCAAGCTTGTGGAACAGGATTTTTTCTAGCACATAATTGTGTAGCCTAAGAGTTAGATGCAATATCTTACTATTTTTACCAAAAAGTGATATTTTTCAGTCTCATCCATGGTGGTTTTGCACTAAGATGTGAAACCTTCTTCTTTGAGAAAGCAAAAAGGGAGACTTAACCTGAGGAAACACAGTTGTGGTTTCCAACAGTACCGCTGAATTTGTGCCTCATCCTAATTTAAAGGGAACTTCTGAGGTTCATTGATACATATTTCATCACAATACAGCTACCCTAATGCCGATTCACAAAAATCTGTTCCGTAAGTGTTGGAGGAGGAGAGGGTTCTGGTTTTGGAGTTGGTAAGCTTTCATGCACTCTTACGCTTATTTGGGGTCCCTACTCTTCCCCACTCCCCCTGCCCCCAATTCTGGTGTGGCCAAATAGCAATGCTCAAGTTGCATATGGCTCAGGAGCATCCCACATGCAGCTTGGCATCTGCTGATTGATTATACCGGTTAGCTCATTTTCCATCTTACTTTCCCCTAAATAAACCCTTGTGCCAGATGCAGCAGTGTCATTGATCACAAATTATACTGACCAGCTTTGCTGGGTACATGGGATCACGGAGTGGGAAAGGGACTTGGTTGTGTTCTTATGAATCCTGATTCCAAGGCTCTGTAGTTACTTGCTTACATACCAGCTGCACGAGTTCAAAAGTGGGATTTGTGGGCTACCCCTTGCCCAGGGAGAGAGACAGGTTTGGAAAGCTGGGTACTGAACTGTAGGACTGGAAAAAATAAGAGCAAGGAATTATGAGTAGGGCATTAATCTCTTATTCCACTTACAACTAATAACCCTCTTTTTGAGGAAAAAAAAATGGCACCAAAAAAAAAAAATCTCCTGCTCTTTTGTTGCCTTCTTTACCCAAGGTCCCTTTTGACAAGATCACACAAAATTGACCTGATGTTTGACACGTTGACCTTCCTAATGTAGATATGCTGTTGTCTGAAAATTTCATAAACAGGCAATCTGTTTTAGGGAGACTCCCAGCTTAGTTGCTTGTCCTATTCTCCTTTTTTACCACCTTAGTTATCGCATTACCCATTTGCATCTGCTCTTTTCTTGGCTCAGGCTTTGGGGAGATGACTTGCCTCAGTCTTTTTAACAAAATATGATGTCATCATTTACTGTTTACAGATCAACAAATCTCACTGGAATCTTGACTTGTGGTTATGTAAAACTTTTGTACACGTGAAATGTAAAATACAATTCTTAAGTGTTTTCATCGCTCTTCAAGTATCAGATATGTTGAATCAATTCAATTGATGGACTAAATTTGCTTTTCTTTTAGAAACAGAATTCTGCTAAAGTGTTTGAGGAATGTTACCTCTTCACATTGGGTAGTGTTGAAACATCATGTGCTTAGCTCCATGTTCAACTGCTCCCTGTTGAGGACACTTCAGTTTCTTTACTGGCCTGTCTCATTTCCCCTATCAGGAAATGCATTTGATGTTACTTAGCCTGTCGTCTACTTAAAAGGCTTTACTTTTGGATAGTAGGAAAACTCCATTAGGTGAGAATGTGTTTTTTCTTTCTGTATAGCAAATTGTAAAAGACAGGAGCACATCTCTCGAGGTGGATTAATTTCTAAAAACTTAGATCTGTGTGATTTATTAAATGTTCCTTCCTTTGCTATTACTTAGGCTCTTTTTTTTTTTTTTCCCCACTCACCCTCCCCAAACCCATGTCTGACTCAAGGTTGCCTTCTCAACATCCAGAGGTGTTAACTGTCAGCTGCAAATGGGGATGGGATAGAGATTATGGAGTGCATTCACCTAGTGGTGTTACCAGATACCCAAGAAAGCTGATATATGGCAACTGATCCAGTCAGGAATATGATAAAACTCTTTTCCTGAGGATATTATGTTTAAAGAGAGTATTTGAAAGTTCATTTTGATCAGTTGAAGTAGAACTGGTATATGTAATCCAATTACTATTTGAAAACTTAGACGTCAAATGTGAAGACCATGTCTTACTGAAAGTTCTTAATAAAAATCTCCTATAATTGCTAGATTTATTAATAATTAATTACCAATTTCTTTCTTGGTACACACTTGGGGAGAAGGAGAGGGAACAGAAGAAAACTCATGGGAGAAAGAGGAATTCTTTCTTTCTTGTTAAAGAGCTTTACTTGCAAAGGAACTGGCACAGATTCCTCTTGAGTGACATCTTCAGTTCAGTGAAAGCTGCTTTCTGTAAATACTTGCATTTTGACAATGTTTCTAGTTATAGCAAGACTTGAGGGCAGGTAGGAAGGCAGAAGCTCTTCAAGGGAAGGAAAGAGTAAAATTAAAGATACACTCAGCCCTGTATGGTACAAAGGCTAGAAACACAGTAAACTTGGTGCAGAAGATCTATGGCTAAGGAAAGTTTACTATTAAACATAACAGTAAGCCAAATAGGCACATAAAGTCATAAATTATGATAGGTTAGTACAAAAAACCCTTCCAACTGCATTGTAATTTTACATCTGTTGTACTTGGTGTGTAGTGGCTATTGCACGTCTGAAGGTGGTAATTCACTGGTCTTAAAACAGTACAAACTGAAGAGTCCTTCTTTGTTCCTTATGTTCCTCTGGCTTCTCATGGCTGTGTGTGACCTGTATCCTCAAGAGAGCACCTGCAGAGGTTTCAGGTCTTGGCTTCGTACTTTAAGAGTAGATATATAACAGATGAGAAAATAAAATTGCAAGTGTAAGTTCCTAGTTCAAATTTGTATAGTCCTTGCAGGTGTATCAAGAGCCAGCAAGGAGTCTCCTCATTTGGCGGGGTTGGGGAGTGATAGGAGATATTTAATAGTTACTGTCCACCCCTTTGATTTCTTATTTCCACTATGTGAGAATGTAAAGGTGAGATTCATCTTCCTGAATGTCAGCCAGCCTAAAGGTAGGTGCCTGCTGTAGGTTATCTGTCTAGAGCCCTATTCTAGACAGGTGCAGAGGGAACAACTAGAGAGTAGCTCAGTTCCTCTTAGTTTTGTTACCCTTTATGGGGATGGGAAAATCTGTAATCCTTTAGTAAGTATATAAAGTACCCAGCCAACCTAGATTAAACCAGTAGTTTTTAGGCAGCTGAAGCTGACAGAGTAATTCTGCCCTTAACGTCTGCAAAGTTTTTATTAGAGACTTGGCAGTTTTTTAAAAATGTGAATCTTCTGAATATTGCTCTATTAAATGACAATAGATTAAACAGATATGCACATTCCTAAATTTTACTCAAATTAGCTGTCTTGTGTTTAGACTCAAAAGAAATTTGACAGAATAGTTCAAGTTATATTTAAAAGATGGAGCAGTATCATCTTGTCTCTCCAGGATCTCCAAGACCAATGTGTAATTGTAACCATCTCTGCAGCATTTCTCTTGGTGTCTAGCAGTAAGCTAGGAGAGGATTGGTTCCTTCTCCTCCCTCCGCATGGATCTGTCATACAGAATGACAAATGATTGTAAACTCCTGCAAGGAGCAAAGGAGTTTTTCTGTTATTGAGAAGTGTTTCTTACCTTCTGTGTGAAATGCTTATCAGATCAAGCTAGGTTTTAGTTTAAATAATTTAAAATGCAGTTGGAATATGAGATTTTTTTAAAGATACAGACTTAGGGCTCCAGTGGAACTTGCTAATTAGTAAGTGTCAAGGGTGATTGAAGAACATAGACATGGGAAGCAGGTGTTTTATTTGCAAACCTGAATTTGTACTGAAATAAAACTGTATTTCAGGTGTGGATCCATCCTTGCAAGCAGAGAACAGAGTCCCAGGCTCTTCGCAAGCTACCGCTGCTGTATCTAAACAGCAGAAATCCCGTTCTACCAACTCAAGGGATGAGCGCTTCCGATCTGGTAAGGAAAAGAAATGTAGCTAAAACATCAGGTATCTTAAGAGGAAAAGTGTACCAGTAAAGCAGTACCTGCACCTAAAGAAAAAGTTGGAAGTGCTTTGGAAGAAGGGAAGAGCTAATGAGTATTTTTCAAGTAGCTTTTTGTATTTCTATACATGAGTGGTTTTGTTCAAATCCAGAATGGAGGAAATGCTAGGAGGAAAGGGAATTGTAGACATGCCTTCTGATGTGTTTCTTATTGTGAATTTTACACCATGCTTAAGAATTTTCTCTTGTTTGCTGATTGGTTTTCCAGTCTCTAGAACAGTTATTTAAACATTTAGAAGACTACAGTATGTGGGTTGTGGGGGTTTTTTTGCTTGGTTGGTTGGGCTGTTTTGTTAAAGAAAGGTTATAGGATTATCATATTTACTGTAGTTTACTTTCAAATATTTCCTGGTTTAGAGCAAGTGCACAAAAAAGGGAAATGTCACAATGGATATTCTACTTCATTTTAAATGGACACCACTGTGACAGACCTGTTTTGGAAACTTCTGTGAAAATATCAATATCCTCATCACATCCTGTTTCCATTGTTACTTCTCAGGTGGTTGAAGTACACTGTTTCCCTGTGAAATTCCTTGTCACAATAGTGAGAAAAGGCAGGTGTTGGGAAGCTTTTCTCTCCTAAATACCTTTGGACTTTTAACTGGAAATTTTTCTGTTTGTTTTGCAGGGTAATTATATGTCTTGGGTTTGGGGATGAGAAGTGCCAGTAATGATGTGCACTACACATCCTCAATATGTTGTTGGTATTGTGTCACCTTGCTTTGCAACTGCTTGGGCATAGTGGTTATTGCATCATATTTGCATTGCTGACATTTAAAACCTTGCTCCAGAAATGGAGCTGATATGCCTGTATGGGTTCCTTATGAATAACTGAAGGATGAATGAGACTTCTTGAATATTCTGAGGATATATATGGACTCCTGGGAAAGATGCATGTATTCAGCTACACAAAGAAGAAACTTCTGAATGTCAGGAAAGATTACCTAGTATCAAAATTAACTAAATTACATGTTTAAGAGTATGTAAAAACTGGTCATTTAAATTTATTTTTGCATTTCAAATGTATTGTCAATGTAATTCTACTGTTGAATATATACCACCCTCCCCACCCCCCCCGATTTAGTGGTTGAATTACAGCCATGATTTCCAAATTACTTTGTGACCAAGTAGATTCGAAATAAATTACAAGCAGAGTCATGAATCTGATAGAAATTCATTCATTTAAAGTAGCACGTGATGTTGTTAACCTAACAGAGAGAAAATCTGCAGGAGCACAACTACAACAGGGAATACTTGGGAACCATTAGCTGAGAGAGCTAGGAGGGTTTAGAGCAATATGCTGTATACACGGACAATTTTCCTGTCTCAGAGCCTCAGATGTCCTATTTAATTTGCACCAAAGATACTAAAAAAGGAAACAAACAAAACAAGAAGCAAGTAAAAAACTCTGCCATATTACTGGTATTGTTTGGGGGAAGTTTGGCATAGGGTTTATTAGTCTTACAGTGCAAGACATGTAGAATGGGGTGGATATTAACAAGTTCAGCTACCGTACTTGCTTATGAATAGATGTGGCTTTTAAATGTTAGTCTAACTATTAGTGCTAATTATCAGTGCTTCCTTTTTTCCTAGAGTTAATCTTTCTATGGCCTTGTTGATTCTAAAATTCTTTAAATTGACTTTCAGTGATTTGGAGGTACTGCTCTCTGTCTCATCAGTCTAGAGCTTAGCCAATATTTTTGCATCTCAGTATGAGAATTTCTGAATGACCCTAAGTGTTCAGGCAATCCTGCCAGTGGACAATTATTCAAGATGAAGCCTGATGTGTAGGGGGTTTAGGCTATTTCTTGTACTTACCACTGGCCAGTTCTAAAACCCTAGGTAGTACTTCATGTGGACTGCCATGTCCTTCTGTGGTTTCCCATCGCTGCTCTGCTAACTCATGTTTCATTAAATATTCTGGCCTAGAATGTGTTCTTCTCTTTGAAATTTAAGCTCTCAGGGGAAAAGTTCTTAGTTATAACATGTAATTGGATTTCTTTTTCCCATTAGTGATGTATGACAAGGCTTAGTGTATCAAAACCAAATAGTTAGGTGGTATCAAAACCAAATAGTGATGTTTTTGTTTGACTTGATTTAGATTAAACTTATGTCTATGCAATGTAATGTAGATGCAGCTTTCAGAAGCCAGTATCTTTTCCACTTTTTCCTCTCTTAATTTTTAGAAAAAAAATTCTTCAGATATCTTGCATTAGTGGTTCTCTTCTTTATCTCAGTGTAGAGATAGACGGAAAGAAAAATGCAAGGTGTTTGTTGCATGTGTTTTTACTCTTTGGAAGTATTACTACTCTGATTCTAATAGATGTTGAATCATCCAGTTCATTCCAGTCTGAAAATGCTTCACATCAGTGTTGATGCTCTTTTTCATGGCTACTCATGCTGTGAGATTCATGTATACGTAGAGCATGAACAGAAATGTTGACAAGATGTCTCATAAAACTCCAGTTACTGCAAAGTAGCTTCACTTCATTCCTCCCAATACCTTCAACATAAAAAGTCACAGTTTTGCTCCACAAAGCCATCTCAGTTTATCTGAGACATTCTAGCTATGCTCATTTTCTACCTAAAGAAAAGATGTCCACCACCACCAGCTTGAAATGTTACCTTTTTAAATTTCCCTGTATGTTGACACGTTACCTGCTGTGAAGGATAAACAACTTTAGGCTATATTCTGTGTACTGTTGCTGCTTCTGTCAAGTGCATGCTTTATTTATTCTTTAGACTTTCAGGGGGAGTGGGGGCCGTGTTGTTTCTTCTTTTTTATTTCCTTCCAGCCTTTATTTCTTTTTTTCCTTTCTTTGCATCTCATCAGTTCTGCTATGTCCTTTTCAAGAGTAGCTGATGAGTGTGGAATGCAACTTTTCATAGAACAGAATCTCTTTCTGGAGCAATTACAGTTATTTTAGAACCATCAACATAAATTACTTGCAAGTGAAACAATTCTGCCTTTTTATGCAATTAATCTGCCATTTACTAGCTGTAAGCACTTTTTTTTTAATAGTTTCCCAGACTTGTTGTCTGTTTAAATTAACTGTAATTTTTATCATCCATAGATTTTTGTTTTCAAGCAGTAAATATTACCAAAAAAATTTCCAACAGTGAATATACCATCAATAAATACTGTAGGCTACTAAATTACCGGAGAGTTCCTGGAACAGCAGTTAATATTACAGCGCTTTAACTAGGTTTTCATTCCGTTAAATGATGACAATGTGATAGAGAAGGTGAGAAATGCAGACACCTTGCAAGCATTCATCTGCTTTAAGTGCTAAGACCCTCATACCTCAGTCCAGAGAACACTTGGTGATGGGTGTATTGCTATTGCTGCTGGCTTTTCTTTCAGGGAGGGTGTACAGTTTCTGGTGGAGGCACTGTGCCTTCTCCTATGTTCAGTCCCACTGCTGCCTGGTTTTGGATAAGAATACAAATAAGCTGGTAAGCCTTTAGGGTGTTGTGAAAAAGCTTTCCCGGCAGCTGTACTTTCTCTTTCCACTCTTGTGCTTTATTCTCCTTACTGTTCTTCAGCCTGTTGGATATACAGCTGTAACATACAGACTGTTCTCCAGCTTGCCTGGAACAGGATACAGAGATGCATTTTGAAGAGCTGCTGCAGATGAGGAGAAGCCTGCTCAGCACGCAGGAGTGGTACCTGTACAGCAGCCTGCAATATACAGCAGCTCTCTCTTTCATTTCATGTGGTAGAGCTTGATCCTGCACCAATCCTCTGTGCTCTGCCGGCCTTCCTGGAGTCATACTAGCTTTTTACAAATTACTTTTAGGGTTTTTTTTTTTACTTTTTTTTTTACTGGCAAGCCTTGTCACAGAGATGCAATCATATGGGACACTAGTTTGCAGCAGCCATTTGTAGAGGCAGACAGTGCTGGTTGCTGTAGCTGCTGCTATTTGGAGATCTGTGAGCAGTAGGGAAACTGGTTAAGCTTATGAATGCCATTTTTTCTTCAAACAACTGTAGAAATTCTTCCTCCTGTGCTTAAGGCAGGAACAAGAATCAGAGGCTGATAAACAAGCAGAGGCTACAAACAGAAAAGAAACATGCTCTTCTAATAGCTGGAGGGTTTAGGGTCTAAGAGTTCAGGTGATTTATACTCCACAAAGTATTTCTTAGTTGTCCTCCCCCATCCTTTTTAAGGATTTGTAGAAGGAAAGAAAATGAGAATAGGTACATAAAATGGAAAAGAAAATTATGTGGTTTACTACAACAGAGGAAGGAAAAAATGTTTTGAATCAATAATAAATTGTTGATGGTTGTTTGCAGCTTACTAAAGTGCAGAAACTTAGAACTATTTTTTCAGGACTTTTTCTTCTGCTTTTGGATGGCAGCATATGTATTTTTTACTCACTTTGGTATGCGTAGTCTTCATGTTAATAAGATGCTGGGCTTGCTGTTCATCTCTTTCAGTGTTCACTGTTGAACATTTGTGTTCCCTGTTCTCAGAAATATGATGTAATACAGATCACAATTGATCTGATTTTAATGACTATTTAAGCCGCTGAAAACTGAAATCCACAGTTCTTAAACATTAAATAATTTTCACAGTAAATTTTTAAGAATTTAGTAATAGACAATGGTAGAGAGCTGCTTTTTGCAATTCCAATATCCAATTAAACTTTATAGTAATTTATGAAATTTTGTGCCCTAAATGTTCTCCTTCTTTAAAATTATTTCATTCTTTTTACTTTTTTTAGTGAAGTCTGTTTCACCATGTACATAATGTAGAAAAGCTCTTAAAGGAAACATGGAATAGGAAGAAAGCATTCCAGGGAAGTGAAACCGATTACTTAATTTGTTTGGCTGAGAGAGGATGGTCCTACTCAGTTATTATCCAAGGACAAGATATTAAAAGAAAAATTTCAAGCTGGAAATAGGTCTTAACGAGTACAGAAGGAACTGATGAGTTAACCAGCACTATAAAAATAAAACATTAAACAGAATAAAAATTTATCCTGACTGTCTTTTGGTTGCATTTGTACCATTTAATCTAGTATTTTCCAGGTTTTGGGGTGGGAGTTAGGAGGACTAGAGGAGGAGGTGGTGCTCATTTTGCCCTCTGGAAATGGAATAAAAAGTAGTTTCTATGCTTGCTACCACAACTCTGTGTGATGTTATGACCTGTCCCACTCCACTTTGTTAAAATGCCCCAACACACCCTTGCCTCAGGCTAGTCCTTTCCATTCCCTAAATACACAACCAGCTAAGAATGCTTTCCTTTTTTTTCATCTGCAACATTATTTAATGATTTAATGGATTTATATACAGACTATAAGTATTGTGTGTTATTATTCTCTTTTGGAAGACCTTTTCTGGAGAAAAACCATTTGTTATGTTCCCCTTCTTCCTACCAGATGTTAATGTAACATAAAAATATCTTCTAATTTATATGTAGAAATATGCATGGTTGAAGTGAATGCATCTAATAGTTACCATCTTTTTTTAAAAACATGCAGCTTGGTTTTGACTTCAAGTTCTGCTATGGAAATGTGTCCAGCAGAACTGGCATTTTGCACCTAACTTTTAAGGCTGAAAAAATGGCATTTAATTTAAGTAATATTCTCACGTCTATGGATAGCAGTAATGTCCTTGGTGCATCTCAGTAACATAGCAAAACAAGAAGTGTGTTAAGTTCTGCTTAAACTTTCTGGAATTTTGTGAAATTAAGAGGTTTGCTTTTGGGTATCCATGAGAATAAACCTTGATGGTGGACATGTACAGGGGGGGCGGGAGGGGAAGTCCAAAACTAAAGATCAGGAGAAACAAAGATTTGACAAAAAGCAGTAGCCCAGATGTGGGGAAGGGAGGCAGGGAGACATACAGAGAGGGGCCTGAATTTCTGATTCGTAAAACATTTATGAACAGCTCCTTGTTGTGAAGGACGGCATCAGAAATCTAACATGGTGCCCAGTATAAAAAAAAAATTTAAAAATCTTGTCTCAAAAGATAGAGGTTTAAGAAGTGACCCCAACCCCCCCCCCCCTTAACAGCATTGTCCTTGAACCTCACAGGTTAGTTGCACAAAAAGTTCTTATTTGAGACAAGCATCTACCTAGTAAATTCCTAAGTCTTGTAAGAACATACAGGTGATATATTTGCATATATGTGTTTTAAATACAGCACTGAACAGATTATCTGGAGGGAGCTGCAGACTTGAAAAGTGACATTGTTACTGCAAAGAAATAGATGGTGTCTGGGACCATACGCCCAGGGGTTATTTTGATTTTTCTGATCCATTTGGCCGGGCTGAAGGAAACAGTTTGTTTCTCATTTGGACCTGTGACTAAGAAAAGCAGCTTCCTGATTTTTGGTTAAGAGTGGATTGTTTTTTTCTGGCATTTCTTTTAAAGACGCTGTGCTCTTCCAGTAGTGGGGTTTTAACTTGCTTCTCTCATGGCATCTCTTTGAACTCACGTATTGCAGTAAATCATGCTGTGTGGTCAGGGACCAAAAGTTAGATGCCTGAAGTGCATGGTGTCAATGTGCTTTGGAGCAGGGGGGATTTCTACGTGTGGAAATTGAATAGTTTCTATCTAACATAGGAAAAGATGTCAGATTAAGCTATGGTGATCTTTCATTTACTTAAGAATAGAAGTTCTGAAAGTAAGTCATATGCCAGTATCTGTTGTTATAGTTGGTTAGAAATATAATTTATGAAGCCTCCTCTGGCGAGGTCATACTTCTGTGTTTATGGGCAGCATTTGTAATCTGTTTTTGAAATGGAGAATTGAAAGTTGTCCCCTAAGTGTCAGGTGTTTACCCAGTGCATTGGGACACAGCTGCCTTTGGAAAGTGGTTTGTGCCAAGACTTCCTAACAGGTTCATGTAAATGTGCTGTGCTTTGCTGTTTCATAGCCTTTCATTCTCTGGGATGCTTAAAAATCTCTTCTGATTTTCGTTAAAATATATACTGATTAGCTTTCCCCGAGCTACCTCTTGCTTTGTCTATGTTAACTGGAATTGGTTAGCATATTTAAAATAAATAATAAAAAACCTTGTGCTGAGCATGACCAAAGCAGGTTCAAGACTAGTACCAGAAAAAAGGTACTGTAAAATTTGGAGCTTTACTTGTAGTTGTCATCAAGGTTAATCCCTGTAGGTACGGGACAGAGAAATTACTTTTTTTTTTAATACGTAAGTTGTGTAAGTGTATGTCTGTCACATGTCTGAGTTTCATACCTACAAGTCTATCAACCTGTTATATAGTTGCAGCCTTAGATGGATACTTAATGAAAGAATGTCTTTTTTTTTTTCAAATTGAACAGTTTCATTCTGTAATTCTTGTATAGCTGCTTCCACATAAAAAAATATGGTAAGACAAAGGCATAATCATAATACTTGCTTTTGGGCTCTTTGTAGCTCTGCGTAAGTGTATACATGTTGTACTTGTTTTTCATGATTTTGAATCTTAGGTCATAAGTTAAAGTATATTTTTGGTCTGCCTCATTTCTCCTTGACATCTGTTCACTTATGAATTTTCTTTCTATATAAGTTTTAGATTTTGACACTAGTGAAATATATATGTCAAAGAGAAAAATCTGCTGAAGGCAGTTTAGAATTACTTGAATACATTAAATTTTATCTGCAGTGTGGTCTTGATTGAACACTAAATTCCTCTTTAATCTCAGTTTTGGCTTAAAAATAAGAAAAGTTAAAATATACCCCCTGAGTATATTAGGGTAATTTTTGCCTTCAGGAAGGTGAAAACACTTTGTGTCTCTTCCCTAATTCTTCCTATACCTTTAGCCTCTTCTTTCTGGTTTTTATTACTTGCATTCTTTTGAGAGAGCTTCAAGTATACATCTTTCACTTCTTTTTCCATTGTGGATTTTGAGGATGAAGAGTCCAGTGCTGTTGCCAATTTACAGTACCTGCATTGAAATTTCCCCCCAAAATGAAAATAAATCATAGCTCAGTACTAATGTGTTCTGTAACTTCAGTATTGATTTTCAGGGTGTTCTTCCTAAATGATACCTGCAAAGCCTTTTCAAGCTGATTTCATGAGGAAAATATGTCAACTTGACCCTGCTTATAGCCTCCCGTAACTTTTGAAACCATTGCTTCTGAGCTGAATTTGAGTGGGAGGCAGGCTTATTCATTCAGTCCTACTAAACACCATTGAAGGAGAAACAATTGATAGAGTTGTCACAGCTTCAGAACTGAAAACCATGTTAATGGAGTTTAGCTTTGGACCTTTCTGCTTTCCAAGAAGTGCTGCTTCCTCTGAAGCTGAGAACCTGCTCCTTTTTGCAAGCTAAGCAATTGGGCTAAACAGGACTAAAGCCGTAAGGGCCATCATGTGTGATTCAGCCTTTGGATATGAGCTGTAAAAGATGACGTTGATGCTTTCTGTGTTTTTAGAAAGAAACATGATAAAACTTAATCTCTTAACCTTTTTTTTTTGTTTTGTATATAGATGTCCACACTGAAGCAGTACAAGCAGCACTCGCAAAATACAAAGAGAGAAAAATGCCCATGCCTTCAAAAAGACGGTCTGTTCTTGTGCACTCTTCAGTAGAAACGTACACACCTCCAGGTATCTATTGAGTTAACATATGTAAATCTTGCCAGGTGAACATGATAGCAAAGTATAAAGAGCAAATGCTTTGTTCTGCTAAGTTGTAAGTATGTTGCGATAAATTTCTATATTGATGGCTGTATTTCCTGATAAACAGGTGTTGGTTGGATGTGGGTTTTGATGTCTTTCCTCAAGATTTTTAGTGTCTCTTCTAGAGATACTGTAGCTGCTAAAGGTACACTTAAGACCAATAATAGAGTGAGCAGTTGCCCTTTATGCATTAAGTATGTTCTCTTACATAATGTCTCACTTGGAAGGAGATAATCTTGGCAAGCATTTCAGAACTGTAAATAACCTTATTTCACATTGCGTAAGATTCTTTTTTTAACAGTTGAAGAAAATGCCGAAGAATTAAGATGCTGCATTAGCTTGCAGAACACTCATCAGATAGTTTCAACTGTGAGCTATTTCAAACATTCAGAAAATCATATGCTATAATTGTTCAGATTGTTTAGGTCAGAATGTTTTCTTTAATTGTTTTTTTTTTTAGGGGAAAAAAAGTAATCTTCCTGTTGTCTCACAATGAATTCCCTAGAGGTTAAGAAAATCTTTCTCCAGATAACATGTTGTGCTAGCAAGCCAAGTGTTTTGGGGCCAGTGTCTTGTATACAAAGAAGAGGAATTTCCCTAAGCTCTTAATTTTTGAATGATGTGCACTTGTCTTTTCTAATGTGGCCTCAGAGTAGAAGCACACTGACCTCTAGTGCCCTTCTCTATCAATTCTATTTTTTATCCCCCTTCCGTAAAAGAGCAGGTCTGCTGTACTGTTTCTCTTGCTTCCTGGGCTATATTTCTCCTTTCTGTTCTTCCCATTTAAAGGAATTCCACTTTTCTTTGCTAGTCACACACTTTTGTATATTGTTTTTGGTTCTCTGGTTATTTCATTAGTTAATAAATAATAAACTTATTCTGTAGTCTTATCTATTGTCTTTCTTCACCCTTATGTTTTTGCCTATAGGATATGTTTAGGTATCATGCATTTTGATTAGCTTATTCCTCTAGTACTCAGGTACTCAGAAGCCCATGAGGGCAGCTATTGCAGCAGGGTGGTTATCATGCTCTTGAGTTTTCTTGCATACATGTTGGTTTTATATGTGAAAGTTGTGAAATTTCATAAAGTGAAGTCCTGGAGAAAACTAATGTATAGCGACCATCTGTATGCTGAGGCTTTGGGAGAGGGGCCCTGAAATTTCAAATTTCTGCTTATGGCTCTTCAAAGCAATATTCCTTCTCACTCTCCAAAATAAACTCTGATAGAACAGTCAGCAGTGCATTTCACATAGCATCACTCTGTCCTTTTGTCTCATCCCCCTAGTGGGACAAATCATTATGTGCTTGGCATGAGGTATATCATGTCAAGAAAAGAACATGCCGCTGTTCTGCCTAAGATTTGATGTACAGAAAATAGCTGGCATCCAGAAGCCGTGCTGAGAGCGGAGGACAGCTAGGCTTTCCTGTCTTCCTTAGCATTTAAAACTAGATGGAATCTTCTTGCAGTTTTTTTGAGACAACCAAAATATCATTCTCTTCTGAATACCTTCGGGACGGATTTGAAGCAGCGTCCCTGCAGTGACTGCTGCATCCGCTCTGCCTGAGGTCAGGGCTCTGCATGCTGCTGTGAAGGAACAAGGTCTTGGGGGCGTTGAGAGACTCTATAAAAAAAAAAAGGGGGGGAGATGCTGTGGGTAAAATGTTATATTAGGTGATAAAAACTGGTCTGCACACCTTCACAGGAGCGCAGAGAATGGCAGGTGGGGGAGCCCAAGTAATACCCTGCCCCAGCCACTCCCCGGCCTGTCCCAGGAGCCATCAGCCTGTCCCAGACCCATCTCCACAAGCCCAGAGGAGCATGGGGAAGAATGACAGGCAGGAACCCAAGTTAAGGACTCAGAAGAGGGATCACCCTGTCCAGGCCCCTCCCAGGGCTGTCCCTGGAGAGCCTCAGCCCTCCTGTCCAGGCATGAAAGCTATCAAGACCAGTCAACACTAGAGCACCTTCTGGATGGAGGGGGGATGCCATGGAGGGCTCTGGGACACGTTATGGGATGGAGGGCAAAGGTATTTTGGGACTGCATGAGGCTTGTTCTGGGATGTTTAGGTGAGGAACCACAGATGGGGAAGGGGGTAGATTTAGGTGATTTGAGGAGGAACAAGTGTGGGGAAAATAGCAGTGTAAGGGGCTAAAAAGGGCTGGTCATGCATAGATGGTACACTTGCCTGACCATGCCCTGCACCTGACCCTGCAGTCTGTCCTCTCCTCCTGTTATACTCCATTTCTGACACCTCTCCTGGGTGAGGGACTCATATTCTGTGTGCGTGGAGTGGCTCAGTCAGTCTATATAAGCAAATGGAGGAGGACTGCAGCCTCTGGCTGTTATGTCCAGGTGTCGGAGACTGGGATCTGGCGACAACTACTCAGCAGAGCCAAGGGTCTGAGCCCAGCTGCTGGAGGGATCCACATCGTGTGTGTGTGTATATGTATGACCTCCATCCTCCCCAGCCAGAGAGGGGAGCAGGATGAGGCCATGGGGTCTACCCATGTTTGTGTGAGTGGTTTTGTGTGTTTGTGCTGCTGGTCAATGTCATCTTCTAACGTGCCTGTCCAAGTGGTTAGCAGAAAAGACAAGTATACTCACACTGGGATTTAGCAGGATCCAGAAGCACCGTAACTAATATGTTCTGAAAGAAGAGTTAAGTGTCTCTGGGATCTGTCATGCTGCTTCTAAGAGAAGGTGACTTGTTATGAGATAGCTTTATCTCTATAAGAAAATGGGCCACTGGATGAATTCTGTATCATGGGACATCATGCCATTCAAAAATATTCTGAGGACTTACTGCAGCTGTATCAATTCACAGAAATAATTGTCTTTTTATGGGCCTGCCTTTATTTGCAAAATTAGCTTAGCAAGAAAGATCTGAAATCGCAAAGAATCTGAGTAGTGCTGAAGCATCTAGTTTCGTTGTCTTGAGCCATTAAACCACTGCCTTAAAATCCTTGTGTTGGCAGAAGTTATTGCAATTAAAACCAGGCTTTCTTAGTAGCTGAAATTTTGTTACAAACAGTTACCATCAGTCGCCAGGAAGGAACCATCGGATTCTGGTCACATTAGGTTCAAAACCACCTCCAGACTGGCAGTAATGGAACTGCTTTCATCAGTCATCCTTCCAAAAATTTTAATGTACTTTTGTTTTCATTTCATCAAGTCTCTCATCCTTCCCATACGGATTTCACGTGATCAGAACTTAAGCTGTAGTCTTGATGCAAGTTTGGTCCAAAGGGTGGTGGTTTCTGTGGCTGTCTTGGGTCAGCTCCCAGCCAGGAAGAGCTGCAAGCCAAGTACATAGCATTCTTCTCACAGCACACCGAGAACCACTGATTAACTCTCGCAGCTGCGACAGAGCTAGTTACTGAAGTTACCTTGCTACTTTTCTGTTGTAATTATGTTTTGGTTATTAGAATGTTTTTACTATGGATCCTTCATTTTTATACACAGTTAATGTTTTACATTTAAAGTGGGGGGAAGGGGGTCCCCCCTTCCTTATGTAAGATATCTGAAAGCTTAGAAATTTTAGAGAGACTTCATTAAACATGTATCTGGATAAGGAGATACTATCAGAGTATATATTCTTTGAGAAATGTGGGGTTTTTGTAGTTTTATTTCTCGCTTTGAAATGATAATAGATTGCAAATGTGGTCTTTTTTTGGGTTTTTTTTTTTTGAAACCTGACTGTTTGTAATCCTGTCTTGTTCCATATTCCTGGAGTTGTTTATTTTTGCTTTCTGCCTAAAAGAAAGGGAAGGTTGCAAGCACTTAGGGTCAGGTTTGGCTCCTATCCAGGAGCAGATGGAGTCAGCTGCCAAAAACTACAACTGTGGCAGTAGACCAGAAATATCATACGAGGCACAAACCCAGGAACGGTGATGCACCACAGCTGTATCTTCTCAAAGATCAATTGTTTGTGTATTTTAATTCAAAATTGTCATGTTGGACTAGGGATGGTCAAGTAATGAGAGATTTGCGATTTTAACTGAAAATGCCATCGATTTTAACAGGCTTCTTATGAAATTATTTCTGATTTTTGTGATTTTTAGACTGTTAAAGAGCAGTTATTCTGAAGCTATTGGAAATGCACGTATTCTTGAAAGGCCAAAAATTAAACAGCTGGTAATTGAAATTTGTTGCCAAAGATGAGGAAAAGATTTTTATGTGGCTTCAACAAAATTTATATGGAATTGTATATAGCTGAACAGTTACACATTCAGAGGTTTAAAAAAAAAAACCCAAAAGCCAAAATTAAGTTGCAGAATTTCTGAGGTAACCCACCTCACTATCACCCAGGATTTCCATGTCTGGAAAGGACTCTATAGTGTAGTAATGGACACTCTTATCTTTTTCAGAAGCTGTTTTTCAGCTCCTGCTGACTTCTTAATTGGTCTGGCCATTATGCGTGACTTAAAACTGCTCTTCACAAAGTGACTTGATGTGAACTTTATCGGTATATGGGCAATGCATTGTTTTAGGAGCTTTCCTTTAGTTACTTTGGGGTGCATACAGAGGATCAAGTTCTTAAAGTACAACGGTGTCTTTAGGAAGGCAAGATTCTTTTTCTGGGACAAAAGTTTCTATTTTTCACTCAAAATCAACAGAGATGTATTTTCTTGATATTTAGAAAGACCTTTTTATTTGTTATTGAATGGACAATAAATGTGGAAAGATTGAGTGCCAAAGGGAAACTTCTGGAAAATTGTAAATAACTGGTAATGAAAACAGGAGCCCTTTATCAAACTTCTAACAGCAACAAATATACATCTAGAATGAAAAGATGCTTTACTAAGCATTTCTGTGTAGTGCTTGTTACTATCAATTTATGTGGTTAAAATACATGCTGTTAAATTCCTTCTAATTATTCTTAGATTAATGAAATTACTCTTTCATTGAACTTTATAGCACTGTGCTTTCTTTAGTAATTAGTTCTCAAAAAAATTGTCAAAAGAATCGAAAAATGAAGAATTTCCCCCCCAAAAATAAAAAGAAAATACCCAACAAAAAGTGTAGTGACATTTATTCAGGTGGGATGAGAACTGATTTACCTGTTCAGAACAGAAATATTCTTTCAGTGGAATAGTTATGGTATGCTCACTGAGAATGGTTAGTGAATGTACTAGGAACCTTAGGTAGAAGCCTTTTTTGAGTCTTACGTCATTCCAAATACGGAAGGTAAATGAAACTTTGCTTCAAGTGTGTTGTAGCTATAATGTGTAGAAGTTGTTGCATTAACATAAAAATGGCAATGAGCAGAACTTGTGCATGTGAATATACCATTTGCTTAATACATGTATCTCGTGTAGCACATGAGAACGCTACGTGAAGAACATGGAAAAACTTCATGTTCCCGTCTGTTGGGTCATTCCCACATTACATGCCTGTCATCGTTATTTTAATCACAGACACATCGTCAGCATCAGAAGATGAGGGCTCGTTACGTCGGCAAGGGCGGATCACCTCCACTCCGTTCCAGAGCCATTCCAACGTAGAGCCCTGGCTTAACCGGGTTATTCAGGGCTCCTCCACCTCATCCTCTGCATCCTCCACCTCATCTCATCCAGGAGGGAAACCTGCTGCTGCTTCCAATACTGCTACTGCCACCGCTGCTGCCACTGTGCTTGCAGATCTCATGGCACACACCCAGCTAGGTCAGTAAAGAACTGCCTGTGTGGTTGGAATAAAATAAAATTAAAAATCCCAAAGCAGGGCTAAACACAAAAGTCTTCACCAGAAGATATCTGTAAATAGCCTTAAAACGTACAATCCGCAGACCAGGTATGTATGATATATATGTATTTAATGGAAACCAAGCCAGTTGTTCATGAGATCTGAACATGCATTCTTCTTGGTAAAATGCTTGCTTTATCAAGAAACTAAGGTTCAATTTTACTGGATTCAAAAGCAGAATTTCATATTTTTGATGCATGCTTTCTGATCTGCATGTATTTACCCTAGACAATATCAGGTTATGGATTTCAAAGGTGAGTCAATTGGTAAACACCCAAAAGACTAGAAAAACATCCAGAATCTTTTGGAAAGTTATGAAACCAGGGATACTGACAAAGCTGGATTTCAAGCTCAAGTGTGATTTTTTTTCCTTTAATTAAAAGTTAAGTCATGAATAGTCTTTTATTGTGAAACTAGAGTGAAAATGTAGAAGTCCTGGTAAGCCGAAATGTAAATGTGAGTTTTGTCTCAATCTCTGTAATGCTTAAGGTCCAGAACTTCAGGTTATTTCTTGTGTCCTAAAATGCAGAGCACTAGTCTTGTGCTTTTGGAAGATTTGGTAGGGAGGGAGAAAGGTAGTCTGTTCCACCAAGGAAAAATTACAGTGGTTTTGTACACTGTAGTGGAGATGATAGTGGATTTATGTGTGTGCAACAGAACCACACTAATGTTAAAATGATGGGAAGGGACCTACGGTAGAAAAAATAACTTTGTATCTCAAATAAATTTTTTGCCCAAAGTCATTTAGGAAAATGAAATGAAGATTGATGTTTGTATTTCACCTATGGGCTACAGCATGAAGTTCTTGTGCTTCTAGTAATATGCAATAGGCATCATGTATATTGTTCCTGGACATTTCAGGTTTTGGCAGTTTTAGTGCTCTACTTACCTGACTTTTTGTTTATCTGTGACTGTAGGCCTAGATACACTATTACAGACAGTTTTTTATATTTTGTTACAGAGAACAGGATAGGTCAGATGAGGAAAACACATTGAAATGCTTTAGATTTAAAATTATTATACAGGCTTCTGTACACTTAGTAACATCAATTAACGTGATAATTTAAGGCACAAATATATTTTGCAAATACCTGTTCATATAGCTGGTCTAGCTGTTAGGTTCAAATTTTATTGAAAGCCCAATCATATATCCTTTAGATTTCTCTGTTAGATGATACAAACAGTTCACAGTTCTCTTGGGCGTGAGGCAGCTATTCATGAGAGGGTCGATTCTCTGTTCTTTGCTGGTTTGCCCTCTTGAGTTCCTTCTGCCTTATACTAAGTTTGGGGCATCAACCTGAGTTTATAGTAGCGATGGGCTTCAAACCACAGCCAATGCTTGTAGTCTGTGATGGGAGTTTTTCTTCTTCAGATTCCTGAAGCACATGATGAAACAGGGAAAGGAGTATGAACAAGCTAGAGGCTGTCCAAAGGAGAATCCTCTAGATCTTCTATGTGGCTTAGGTGCTGACACAAACAGGGATTGACTCATTTTGCCATGATTGATGTCCCAGTTTTCACAGTGCAGGCAGTTTTCTGCAAGTGGAGCTGAGATGGATGAGTGGAGCTTCCTTTGTGTTCTGGAAGACTCTTCAGATGTTAGAGAGTCTGGGAAGGGTTATCTGTCTTTCCTACTGGCTTTTGCTCCCTCCTGTTTTGTATGGCAATCTCTTTATTGTGGAAGCTAAGCATGGAGATGTTCTGATATCTAAGCTTTTACAAGACAAAATGTTTTTTCCCAAGCCCAGTTAGTGCTGTTGCCTTAGAAAGCTCCTGCATGCTGAAATGTTGGGTCTTATTTTGTGTCTTACAAAGTTATGGGCAGCATTTGGCTTTGCTCATTTTTCTGCACTTCATCAGTACTTCATCAATAAATATAGTTAGAAAGATTTGCCTCTTTGGTTAACTTTTGTGGCTTTATTGCTAGTGAAATCTTTCCCGTTTGTACAATACATACCCATCTTATTGCCTTTAAAGAAATCTGAATTTTCATCTTCCCATTTCCAAGCTTATTTATAATAAGAAATTTGCAAATATTTTTTTCTTTTTTTTTTTTTTTTTAAATTTTACTTAGTGGATGTAAGTAAGATGGAATATGTCTGCACCTTGCTTTGAGGGCATTCTGGATTTCACATTATGGATTTATAAGAATCATGTTTTAACTCCTTAAAATTAACAGATAAACTTGGAAGGTTAGCCATAATTGTAAGTGTGATTGAAGTTCTTAATATAGCTGTAAAAACTTGCAAGATATACAAAATGTAACACAGCATCCTGTTATGTCTAATATTTCAGGCCATATAAATACATACCAAATGTCACAACTAGCTTCTTAAGACCTATCCATCAGGGGTATTTAATCATCAAAATTGTACGCAAAATCAAGGCCTCATTAACAGTTCAAAGTCCACCATTTAAGCAGCTAAATGTCGGACTGCATGCAGTGGAGTAGTTTGAAATTTCATTAATGGGAAATAAATACGCAATTATAGTATCTATCAGGAAGGAAGTTCAGGGATTGTTAAGAGCTGATCTACTAAAAATATTTAGAAAGTTAAAATATCTAATGCCTTTGACAAAAAGTGAAATGTCCTTTTGCATAAGAATAATCTTCCTCATTTCTGAAATGTTTGCCATATTCCATCAGTTTTCATTTCTAGTTTGGTAACATTCATGCATGTCCAATAACAAATAAATTGTGACATTTTTTCATGTTTGTCTATAGTTTTCCTTAGTGACAGGAATATGAAAACTTACTCAGTTCTCACATTGCAAAATTCTTTGATTATCAATAAATACTAGTATACTTTCAAAAAGGACCCCTTTGATTTGTCCTAGAGCATAAAAGAAGAGTTTATTTATTTTCTCAGTTGATGTGCTGACATCAGCAATATAAAAGGCATCTTACACATTTTAAATACTATGCCTTACCAAAATATTCTGTATTTTGACTATGTACTGAATAACTAGTCACAATTTTGATATGTTAGAGAATTTAAATTTAGCAGCTTGTTCCCTTGCAGCTCATCTTCCCCAGCTCGCATTTTGATGGTGAGATCCTACTAAATTCCCAAGCAATAGACTGCAATGTTGAAAGTGCAAGGTTACAGTATTTAATAAAGTCAGATAAGAATATGCATTATTTTTAAGCTGTTTGTCTTTCACCTGTAAAAGCAAGGACAACATCTACATGTTGTTTTAGGGGCTCTTCTTCCTTTTAATGTAATACTTTCTTTAAAACGAATAAGGCTAGCAGTGTGTCTAGATTTTTTTCAAGGTCACCATCTCAGCTGTGGAGTATTTCCCAACTTAGCTCTTGTTAGAGTAACTGGAAAAATTTATTATCATGATATTTGACCCACGATTTATTGAAAGACAATTCCTTTTCTTAAGGGGAAGCAGGGTTATAAGAGTAGTAAGATAGGTGGTTTGAACTGCTGTGGCTCTGTAAGCAGTTTTACAGGAGTTGTAAGAGTGAAGTGTGTTAGAAACAGTTTCAAAGAGTTTATTGGAGAGGAAATGCAAGAATGAAGTAGTGGCTTGTGGATCCTATTTCGTGTTCTGACTGGGTTGGTGCACTCTCCCCCCCCGCCCCCCCCCGAGTTGTTCCAATACAATTTAATATACTTATTTTAAATGTCCATTTTGGTTGAGTGGCTTCCTAGAGACAAAACAATCATATACAGCCATCTCTAGGTCTAACCCAACTTCCTGCTAGGTAAAGTGTTTGAATCTTCACCCTGAGATACCTCCTTAGAGACTACTTTCTCTCTGATGCCTAGCTTTTAATTTTCTGGATTGTATCCCATACGTTCTTTCTTGGGCCACTGCTCTCTCAATAACGGAAAAACACTTCAGTCTAAATCCAATTAACTTTTTTCCTGAAGTCACAAGTCTGTTCAGACTTTTTTTTGACTACTCTTCACTTCTCTTCATCTGCTTTGCCACAGTATCTCTAGATGATACAGACTAATTTCATGGATTCTCATGGGCATATATTAATGAAGCTAATGTGATTTTTATCTGAGCATAAAACCTGAAAACTGAACTTACTCCTTCTACATGCATAGAAAGAATGTTGCCTTCTGAAGGCAGAAATGGGAGGGAGAGTCAGTTCTGTACTGCATGTAAGATGAAATAGCTGTGGACAACAGAGAAGTTCATTAGGACCCCTGCCATTTCCCTTCTATGGCGAGGGACATTGATTTGCGTGAAATTTGGCTGTGAGATGCTCATAAGATATGCGAATGCTATAGATTAGCACCTCCATATATAGCTATTTTTTTGTGCTTGTTTTCAAGTTGGGAATGATTGTTAATGGTTTTTTTGTTTCTCTTCTGAGCATTCTCATTTTTTGTGTGATTTCTCTGAGCAGTTCCCAAGTACACAGCTCTTCCGTAAATGTTCCTAAATAGCTTCTTCCATATGTTATTTTCTGAGCATCTAATTGCAGAGCTTTTGTATTTCAAATATCCACCTCATGCATGTGGGCATGAGATTACTTTTTCCCAACAGGAATATGCATGGTAAAACCTGCATCCGTTCAGCATATTTCAACTTCTGTACTTTATGCATGGCTTCTAACCCATACGTGCACCAAGTCTCATAGTGCGTGTCAGTCTCTCTTGTCCTCTCTCTTGATTGTTGAATTTGTACCTATGTGTATATCACTTCAAATGTATATTTTGAGTCACCTTAATGTTTAGTGGTGACAACTTCATATATAGGAATGCCATTTGGGGCCTTCCATTGATGAAGCCACGCTGCAGATACATCCTTAATTGTAGTTCTGGCTGCTGTATTCAAGGAGTGGAAGCCTTAGACAGTGATAATCACTGCAGGGTCTGTAAGTTGAGAAGTATGGACTTGTGGGCAGTATGGGAACCAGGTACATTTGACTCTGTGTCCTTTCCTGTGATTAATTTGTATGCTGCATGAAGTCCGTGTTTTGGGACTTCGGTAAAGCAACTCAAAAAGTATATGGAATGCAGTGAAAGTGTTTCAATTTACTCTAAATACATGGGCTTTCTATACACCCTGTAAAGTAGTTACAGGGATTAGTTTTACACAGTTGTCACCCTTTCTTGTTACTGGTTCTAACTCAGGCATTTGTCAGAGACATTAATTGGTACTTTGTTCTTCTTATACCTTACCCACATGAAGGGAATTCACGGTCCTTGCTTAGATCTGGTGATCCCTCTAAAACTGCTTAGAACTAAACTGGTGGCTTGTATGCCAGCTCTGGAAATCTGTGAACAGAGCTATGAGCACTTGTTATCTTAGTGCTAATTGCTTCCTCAGAATGGGTGGAGTAGTATATGCATTTCACAGCACTGCCTAGATCTCCCTATGCTTTGAGTTCTTCCTACAGGATTTGTGACACGCTGTGGTCCTTCAAGGGGTATCACTGCAGAGCTGCGTGACCCCAAGCAGTTCCTCCAGCACAGTGCAGCAGCATATTCTTAAGCTCTTTTCTGTTGCACTCCTATTGTTACTCATGAGGATTTTGAGTATTTCAGGCCTCCAGTTCTTGCTTTTCCTTATTTGAACACTTCTGCCAGATGCTGCCATTTTCTAACCTGTGGCTCCATTCAAAACCATTCCATAATCTAGGTCACAATTTTGGAATGACAATATTCCCTAAGCATTGTTCTGCAGCACAGAAATGTCATGCAGTTCCAAGCAATGCAGGCTTTTGCCTCAAGGTTGTTACAAGGTGGTTCTCAAGTCCCTGTGAGTATGCGAGGATTTGAAAATGCCCTGCTTTCTCTATGTAAATATACATTACAAAAAAATTAAGTATTTATTGCTTGTAGCGCACACCATTAAAATGAAACAGCATATTGTGTCTGGCCACAAATGACCACCTCATGCCTCAGAAAACCCTGTGCTAAATATATTTGGTGTGAGCGCTGTGTGTCTATAATGTTGACATATATGCCACAGGCTTTATTGAGTGTTTACAGGCGTTCCAGCTGTTCTCATTGATTGATGCTCCAGTGAAGACTATGTGTCTGTACCACAACATAAACAGGAAGCTTTTACCTACAGTATCTTTGTGAGACACTTAAAAACAGGTGATAAGAAAAGCTGCTAAAGGAAAACCATGACTGGTCTTACAAAGTGCAGGTGATGTTTTTTTAAGTCAGCAGTTACTTTCCTCTGAGGGAGTCTCTCATCTCTCTGTGTCCATCCTCAAGATGTGTTCAGACCTAAGTGTGCTATCTTTGCCACCTTAAATTTTAATCTGTGTTTCTCAGCAAAAGTCTTCCTCTTATAGCTTGTAGAATGTAGATAAGTGCTTCATGTTATCGTGGAGAAAAAGTTCCCTTCTTTTAAACCTTATACTTTTGTCCCTTTCTCTTCCTATGGGACTTATGCTAGTCATTCCAGTTTTGTGGTGAGACTTTGGATGCCTGTATTTCTTCTGAGAGATGTGAGACAGGCTTTCTTCGTAGACTTGTGCTGTTTACTCATAATGAATCTCCTTGCTTTCAGCTTGAAGTGATGGAGTGACCCACCGCTCACCTTATTTGTCAGAATTTGTTTGGATCCTTTTGAAAGTTGGAATAGCTCCTCTCCACTCTGGAGAGACACAGTGGTTCCTTTCAGGATTCCCCCTGTACCTAGAAGATTTTGGTTACAGTTTGATTAGAGAAATCAGAGTTTTGTTAAAAACACATGAGAAAACAGCAAGAATGCTGTAAGAAGCAACTTTGGATATATTGATTCAAGATGACTGATGAGCTCCCGTGTCTGTCTTCCATTTCTACAGATAACCACTTTGCACCCCCAGATGTAACCACTGGCCTGGTTGAACACTTACATCATGAGCGTCCACAGGTGGCATCAGTACGAGGAGTTCCCAGAGGCTACCACAGCAGCATTTTGGAAACTGCAGATGGTGATTGTGTTACAAACCTCCTACCTTTCAATCTGTGCCCCTTTTTCTGAATAAGCAAATGCAAAACAGAGCTTGACACCCATCATGTGGTATGCGCCTGCCCCCTCCAAAGCTTTGCTGTAGTATGGTGTATTTGTCAGTCTACCACAGGATGGGAAAATGTACTGCATTTCCCGTGTTGTGCTGGTAGGGCCATGTCCCCATTTCTCTATATTTCTATAGTAAAGGCAATGTAAGCCCTTTAGTCTCACATTCTAATTTTATATTGCCTCAGAGCCTTGAATTTCAATGAATGTGAATAAACATACACATTTGTTTTTAATTGAAAAAAAAATATCACATACACAAATGAAAATCAGCATTTGACATGGTTTTGCGTTGTGATTATTTTTTTCTAGCCCTGTAAAATATTGAAAGATTCACTTATTTTTTCCAAGCATTCTCACACTTTCAGAACTGAGTGAATGTTAAGATGTAGCAAATACCTAGAATCTTGAAGAAAAGAAAATTCTTCAGGTTTGTATTGGAATCTCATGAAGGAGTCAGCAGTTTGAAAAGCTAAATAAAAGTGTGAAAGATTATATGCATCAGCCAGGTAGCTAGAGTGCAGCATTGTTTTAAAACAAATAAATCCATGGTTGAAACTCTTATTGATTAAAGCTATTTTTTCCCAAACAAGCCGTTCATCTTGAATGACTCTTCCATCTGAAAGCTGCACTGAGCTTAGCGTGATGTTGTCAGCAATGTGGCAGCATGTGTTTTAACATATGTTTATTAATATAGGGTAAGTAATAAATCTTTTCTGTTTGGCAGGTGTCCCAGTGAATAGCAGAGTGTCCTCTAAAATCCAGCAACTTCTAAATACCTTGAAAAGACCAAAGCGCCCACCCTTGAAAGAGTTTTTTGTTGATGATTTTGAAGAACTGCTAGAAGGTTAATTTTCTTTCAAATACATTTTTAACTCTTTGTGTAAGCGGTTCATGAAAGAACTAATACGTCTTAGCAAGTGCTTTCTTTTTCTCTTCCCAATAGGAAACAAATTATGGTAGAGTTGTTTCATTGGAGAGAGAAAGGTCATATGCTAACATAAGTGAAACGTAATCTTCAACTCAACCCTTCAACTCAGTGTACTTGTTCTCCCCTCCTCCCTCCCTTTGGAAACTTCTGATTCAGCCCAATTTGGACCAGTGGGATGAGCTAGTGAATACTAAAGACAGTGATTTACAGATACTTAGAGAAATTCTGTTCACATCTTTGTCAAGAAATGAATTGGTGCATCCAAAAATTGTCATGTTTGGTGATGGTCCCACGGTCAGTTTTTGCCTCAGAGATTCTAAACTCTGCTCTCTGGTAATCATCAAATTTATAGAAGGTACTCTTTGGAGTAAGTCAGGGCATAGCCTAAGTGTAACTGATGGTGCAGGGGACCTCTGGAAGCCTCTGACCAACCTCCTGTTCAAAGCAGGTCTGACTAGATCAGGCTGCTCAGGGCTGTGCCCAGTCCAGTTCTGAGCATCTCCAAACATGACGATTCCACAGCCTCTCTGGCCACTCACATTCAGCCGCTTGTCTGCAAGCACATTCTGCTTTGTAGCTGGTCAGTGCCCAAATGTAGTTAGATTAAGAAAGTTACTTGCTAGTAACTGGAATTTATTATGATAATATTGTTTGCATCATGTTAATATCCTCTTCTTGAAATCCAGAAACTTTCACTATTTTAGAGGTTCAGAGGAATTAAACGCATTGAGTGCACCATGCAATATGTCTTGTCTGTGCAGTATGTGAAAGGATATTGCTTGGACATGCTCTGCAGATACTGCTCAGCTGAAAAGCACTATTTTCTTCTCCGTATGCAGGTGTCCAGGCAGAAGGAGAAGCATCCCTAACAAATGTAGAAGTTGCTTAACAATACGTAGCTGCCTTTAAAACCACCTGCATCAGCTAATTTTGGAGAATGATTTTTGTTCTGTTCTCTTAGTCTTAAAGATTAAATGAAAATTTTGTTCTCAATGTGACATTTTTGAGCAGCTGCTACTAAATTCCCTGTACTATTTGACTGATACTTTAAGATATGAAGTAATTGCGGTTTTAGTCTTTCATTGAAGATTTTTCAGGCAAACTTTTGTTGAGGTGCATGTATGTCATTGTGGAGAGCGGAGAACATCACTTTGAACTGTTAATTTTAGTTATTGCATAGATTGAGTGTTAGGTAAATCCAACTATGACTTTGTTTTGCTAACTAAGATCAAGATACTTCACCTTCTTGAGCAGCTTGGAGCAGGATTTTAACAGCAGGCTACTCAGAGAGCAAACGGCATGCAAACCCTGCAGTGTTCCACAGTTGAGAGAGATGATCCGGAAATAGAAATATTCTCTGAGTGGTACTGTTTTAGTTGTTGGTAATCCACACCAGCAGCATTTCATCTGGCTTTTTTTTAATATATGTATATATTCTGTATAATATATACAGAAGCATAGTGTCATTCTTCATCACCTGTTGAGAATCTGGTGCAGCAAAAATAAATGTCCAATTGTCACTGAAGCCATTCTCTTTGATAATGCTTATTGACTTGGTGTAGGCTTTAATTTAAATAGATGTGCAGAACAAAGAGCAGAAAATATCATCTTTCCAAAGCAGTGAAGAAGAGCTAACTAGGGATTCAAATTCTGTTCCTGTGGCCAGTTCCTTTGAATAATGTGGAATCAGAACTCTAAAGTGATGGTAATTTTTTTTTGTGAAGCCAACAGATGATTAGCATAGCATCATCATAAAGCAGAGAAGTAATGATAGCTGTGAGGAAGAGGAAGGTGAGAACGATTCATAGAATAGTCTATGAAGTGTAACTTGCACATTTTCTGAGGATTGACGTTTGCCATTTTACTGTGCTCTGGTTTTAGTGCAACAGCCTGACCCAAATCAACCAAAGCCTGAAGGAAATCAAATGAACGTACTTAAAGGTGAACCCTTAGGGGTGGTAACCAACTGGCCACCTTCTCTGCTGGCTGCCCTGCAGCGCTGGGGAACTACCCAGCCAAAAGCCCCTTGTCTGACAGCATTGGATACGACTGGGAAAGCTATTTATACGCTTACCTATGGTAGGTATTGGAGATAACTGTAAGGAAGAATTAGGTGTTCATTGTGGAATGAACAATTTGCTTTACTTAAGAGGGACTGACTGTGGTCATGACAGATACTTTGAGATTGCTGTTCAAATGCAAATTATGAATTCATTGTATATGAAAAACATTTTAAAGAAAGTTAATGAAGGGAAAATGTATATGGTATTGATTCTTTACAAGTAGCTATTTGTAAATCTCAAACAATTGTGCGGTTTTTTTTCCTTAAAAGAACACTAAAAATAGCCTGGTGTAAAATAGGAGGAAGAAACAGATGACTAATGATGCACTTGTCTTTTTCCCAGAGTAGATATTAAATTTTAGCATGTTCTTACATATCCTTATAGAGAAGACTTGTACTTCAGGAGCATATTAAGGATGTTATTGTGGGAAGTGAAACTTGCCTGTATCAATGAACTAGAAGTATTATAGTAATTGCTTTTTTTTTTTGAAGATAATTGTGTCCCTTGGGACAGCTAACTGCAGCATTTCATTGTATAGTATGTTAGAATGTTAAAATTTCTTGTTTGTGTTCTTACAGATGTAGTATGCTTACAGGAAATGTAACTGAGCAGCTGCATTAGTTTCATTAGTTTGCAGTGGAGTTTTGAGAATTGTTTAGAACATCATGTTTAGTTTTGTGTTCCAAAAAAAAGGAAGGAAAATAAAACTAAAAAGAAGCCAAGCTCTAAATTATACTTGGACTCTGCCAAGTGCACTGAATTTGATGTACTTGAGTCCTGTGTATCTTTTTTTCATATAACTGGAAATTACACAGAAAAAACCTATTGACTTGAAGAAGTTTGAGACTGACAAGCACAAAATAACCGATGGTTGCTACATGGTCTGAAGGGATTGAGTGCGGATGTCAGTCCATGATAAAGACCCTGCACTAGAAAGCTGAGTTCCCTATGTATGCTGTTTGCTATGGCATGCTTCTTTGAGGGGTTCTTGCTTTGATTTACCATTTACAGTGGAAGGCTTTTGCTGTTGCTCAATCTTTTTTAAAAAGTTTTTTTAGCAAAGCTCTTCTTTTTTTTTGGAGGCTACAAATTAAAAATTGATTTTTATAGTGTCAAATAAGTAGTTATTGTATTTAATAGCTTGGAATAATTTTTTGTTCTGAATTATTGAGAGCTGTGTAGATCACTACTGAGCACTGAACTGGCATTTCACAGAGCTAGATACTGTGGCATTTATTCCTACCCTTTGTTTCTTAAATTTCAGTTAATTTTTTGTCCAGTTTAGGATTTTTCCTTTTATCCCAAGCAGTTTGCTTTCTCTGAGAGCCCTTAGGAAGGAGTCTTGTTAAGTATCTTTTGGAAATGCAGTTAGGTTGTATCAACCAGACTACGTGTGCATGTGTGTGCGCACACATGCACTGAAACGTTGGAAGAACTCAGTAGGTTTGTGAGGTGGGATTGCTTTCACAACAGTAATGTTCACTTTTTCCCAATTACTTGCTCATGTACCTGTTCTAATACAACTGAGTTGCCTAGTGCACATATAAGGCACTGAGATTTACCAATTAAATGTTAAAATTTTAGTCTTTATTTTTTAATTTCTGTATTGTCTTTTTTTCTGTAGGCAAGCTGTGGAGTCGAAGCTTGAAGTTAGCATATACCCTGCTAAACAAGCTAACCACTAAGAGTGAACCACTGCTGAAGCCTGGAGACCGGGTAGGCTTCTGTTTGAAGTGGTCTTTATGGATAAAATAGAAAGCTTTAGCTAAAGAAAGCCTTGTAATACTGTGCCTTGTAATATATTATCACAGCATTTAGTGTTTCTGTTCCTAGTTTAAATATGAACCTGAACATTGTTGTGAAGATTTTTTTCCACAAATTAAAAAGCAGCCCTCCCCGCCCCTGCAAACAACAACAAAAAACATTTCTTGTTATTTTAATGCATTTTTGTAGGTAGCTCTCGTATTTCCTAATAGTGATCCAGTTATGTTTATGGTGGCATTTTATGGATGTCTTCTGGCAGAACTTATTCCTGTCCCAATAGAAGTTCCACTAACAAGAAAGGTAGGCAAATACATTCAACGTTTTTATGGTTTCCTAAATAAATAAAGTGTGAGGGTGTCTAAATCCGATAGTCCTTATATGGGACCCCTCAGAGTCTGCACTTTTGAAAGCAGTATGGTGCATCAGCTGAACTATTCATGGCATATTATATACTTGGAAAATTTAATATTTAGTTAAGGAAGGGGGTAAATAGTATGAAGCTAGTAAGTTAACTATTTTAGGGTAAGTAACTGTAGAAATTATTTTAAATTAATTTTTGAATTAATTTTTTAAAAGATGCGTGAAAGTATTTCTCAAAATATAACACAGAAATGCTGTCTTTTCAGCTCTCATGCTGAGTAATGAGAGCACAGGCAGGTAGAGACACCATAGTTACTGGAATTATCGGTATATTCCCACACACATAGAGATCATTAGGGAAGAGCTGGAGAGCTATAGTCTCTGCTGTTCAGGACTTAGAAACAGCATCAAACCAGCTCTCTGTTTTACCAGAACTTATAAACAACGCTGTTGGGTTGGAGCGGTATGCACAACCATTGCTTTTGACACTACTTTGCTACCATTGCTTGCCAGATCTGCTGCCAAATCTAACTTAGTTGGCACTAAGCAAAACTAAGCCTTTTGAGTGTAGACTTCAGTCTTTTGTCTTCCATAAAAGGTCTTCTGGGCTTTAAGTTTCTTTTTTCTGTGATATAAATTGGCTTAATATTTTCTAAACGTGGAAAAGTTACAGTGAACTGTACAAAAGCTTCATTATTTGTAAGTTTGCTATAACGTGGTTTCTCTGTAGGATGCTGGCAGCCAGCAGATTGGATTTCTTTTGGGCAGCTGTGGAGTAACACTAGCTTTAACCACTGATGCCTGTCAAAAAGGCCTTCCTAAAGCTCAGACTGGTGAGGTGGTTACATTCAAAGGTATGTTTTTAAGCTACTCGAATTTCTTTATAGCATAAATGGCAGGTATATCCATTGTTGCTATTAAACAACAATCTTTGAGTTTGCTTGCATGCTTGTAGCTTACATATAAAGAAGAACTGCCTTCATTGTCAAGACAGTGCTCAGTGCTGCTTCTTCCTGTCAGGGGGATGATGCTGCAGCTTTTGCTTGCCTCCTGTTGTTATCTCTGAATACTGGGAAAAAACGCTGATTTTTGGAACTGTAATGACAGTAACTTTTCTTTTTCTTTGAAGGCTGGCCTCGTCTCATTTGGTTTGTGATTGATGGGAAGCATCTGGCAAAACCAACTAAGGACTGGCATCCACAAGTACGGGATGCCAGTGCTGAGATTGCTTATATTGAGGTGATCCAGTATAATATGCCTAACTTATAGTTACTCTATTGTAGTTTATGTCACAGCATGTTTTCTTCCTTTAATCTCTTGATGCAATAAAAGAGATGAGAATATTTTTAACTGTGGAACAAGAATGTTTTCCTCAAGGTTGCCAGGTGAACTGTCATTTGAGTGGTTGTGTTGAATCAGATTGAAGATTGGGGTAAATTGGCATTCTTGGATCCCTGGAAAAATTTGTTTAATTGGGATAGAGAAACAGTCAGATTTCCTACGATATTAGTGTATTCTCTGAACATAAATGTATGTTTTACACTAGCTTTTTGATTTTTTTTTAAAAAGCTCACTTCATTTTTATAATAAAATATCCTTTCAGTTCACTACTGTAAATTTTCTAGATTTTATTGTTAAGCTAATGCTTGTGTCAACTTTCTTTTTTCAGTACAAAACAAGTAAAGAGGGCAGCACTGTAGGCATTACTATATCTCATGCTTCCATGCTGGCACACTGTCATGCATTGACTCAGGCATGTGGTTATTCAGAAGGTAAGTTAGATAGGTACAACTTGAAAATTATACTCATAGCTTTGAATATTCAGACAATTTATGTTCCAAAATCATGTTTACTGTCTTAAAAGAACTTTAGATAAGCAGTAGTAGCTTTAACTGCAAAGGGAAAGACAAATCTAATTCATAATAGGTGTGATATGTGAAGGAAAGTAAGAAGCCACTTATTGATTATGTGAAATCATAATCAATATGTATTAAAATTTTTTTAACTGAAGATCCTTATTGATTTTATTCAAGGGTTTGGATTTTTCAGCCTTCGTAAATTTGTTAGTGGTAGGAACTATACTGATTTTTCATCCTCTTGAAAACAGCTTTGCTATGAATCTGTTTTCCCCTCCCTAACATCTTTTGAACGCACTGGACACTTTATGAAGTTAGAAGGGGGCCAGTTTGAGATGTCCACTTGCAGAGTTCTCCCAGCAGAAATTGAGGGAGCTTTCTTAGACTGATCCTAAAGGCCATTTGGGTAGCTTGGATCTCTTTGAAGAGCTTTGGATGTTGTCAGTTCCAGTTGTAGCTGCTCTAATAGTGCAGACTGGTGTGCATGCAGACAGGCTGGTGTCAGTTATGCAGCTTCTTATCTCTCAGGAGAAAAAGTTGCAGTTATTGACCAGAGGGAAGGCCTTTTGAAGTCTTGACTTGAAACCCAGTAATGACTAGGTGAGATGTAAATATGCATCATAGTCCTTATAACTCTTCTACTTTGTGATTCCTAGGTGACACTTGACCCCTGAAAGAGAGGCTTGATCAGGAAAGTCTGAGAGTTACTATATTAAAAAACACCCTGACATGCTTGGCTTTACTGCTCTTGCACCTTTGATGACTCTGCCTGCCTAGATCACAAAGTTAAAAGTCCTAGTGCAAGTCATCTGGTCCAATTGCTTGAACTAGATCTGTATTCTAGATAGCAAGTTTGAGGGCATGAGCAGATTGCTGACAGTTGCTAACTGTCCTCTCTTGCACTTGTTTTTTTATCTTCCTCCTTTGGGCAGTTGGTTTACACCTGCAGTGCTCCAAAGTCCACATAAGTAGTATGATAGGATAAAAGGTCTTCACAGTCAGATATCTGTATTCTTTTTCCTTATCATCAAAGAGGACCCTTTCCCATTTTCATTTTGGGACATGTTCCCATCACAGCTGCCAACTACAAGAACTGTGCTGGGAGAGGGGAGGGTGCACCCAGCTTGTAGGTAAGGATTGTACAGCAGTTCCTGAATCCTGAAAGCATGATGGCAACCAATTATGGATTGAAGGAGTCTACACATCTTAATTTTCAGACAAATGTGAAGTAGTCGTGCTAGCCATTAACATTTCAGATCTTCACAGAGGGTGTTGAATTCTTGTCCTCTTGTATGTTCAGTTTTCAAATTTCTATTGCCACATGCTAGAGATGTTGTCACGAGCATGTTGTCAGTATCAAGCTTTGCCTTCTGTTTTGTTTATAGCTTCTTGCGGCTTCACAATTTTGGCCACAGTAGTTCCTATTTTCAGAAAGGAAGAGATCTTCCTCTTAGTTATTCATGTCCTGCAAAAGAACATCTCCATATGGATTTGAATAAAGTGAGAAATCTACTTGTTTTCAGTCATTCTCTCAGTGAATAGCCAAGAACTGCATCTGGTTTTGACCATGTGCATAGAGATCATCTGTGCTACCATTAACCAAAAACTTTTCCCTTCGAAATCGATTTGCTGGAAGAATCTTATGGTTTGACTAGTTTTTATCCCATAATAGGGTAGTGTGTGCTAATGTATCTTGGGACACACAGAATCACAGAATGGTTGAGGTTGGAAGGGACCTCTGGAGGTCATCTGGTCCAACCCCTCAGCTCAAGCAGGGCCACCTAGAGACAGTTACCCAGGGCCATGTCCAGACAGCTTTTCAGTATCTCCAAGGATGCAGACTCCACAACCTATCTGGGCAACTCGTGCCAGTGCTCAGTTACCCTCGCATAAAGTTTTTCCAGATGCTCCGGTCCCCTCATCATCCTTGTGGCCCTTCGCTGGACTCAATTCAGTAGCTCCATCTCTCTCTTGTACTGGGGAGCCCAGAAGTGGACACAGTACTCCAGCTGTGGCCTAACCAGTGCTGAGCAGAGGGGAAGAATCGCCTCCATTGACCTGCTGATAACACTCCTCCTAATGCAGCCCAGCACACCATTGGCCTTCTTTGCCGCAAGGGCACATTGCTGGTTCATGTTCAGCTTGGGGGCCACCATGAACCCCAGGGCCCTTTCTGCAAAGCTGCTCTCCAGACAGTTGGCTCCCAGCATGTCCTGCTGCCCAGGGTTATTCCTTCCCAGGGGGCAGGACTTTGCATTTCTCCTTGTTGAACTTCATGAGGTTCCTGTCAGACCATTCCCTCAGCCTGTTGAGGTCCCTCTGGATGGCAGCACAACCCTCTGGTGTATCAGCCATTCCTCCAGCTTGGTGTCATCTGCAAACTTGCTGAGGATAAACTCTGCCCCATCATCCAGGTCATTAACGAAGATGCTGAACAGAACTGGAGCCAGTGTTGAGCCCTGGGCTACACAGCTAGTTACTGGCCTCCAGCTACACTTTGTGCCACCAATCACCACCCTCTGGGCCTGGTCGTTCAGCCAGTTTTCAGTCCATTTCTCTGTCTGCTCCTCCAGCCCATACTTCATCAGCTCCTCTGTGAGGATCTAACAATCTGTCACAGGGTGCTGTGAAGCTGCTGGCTGCTTTCTCCAATAAATCCAGCTGTATGCAGTTCACTTTTCCCGAAGTGAAAAGAAGTGAGGGTATGGAAGATTTGCGTTCCCTTATATACAGGCTCATCACTACAAGAAAGATATTGAGTTGCTGGAGCGTGTTCAGAGAAGGGCAACCAAGTTGGTGAGGGGCCTGGAGCACAAGTCTTATGAGGAGCAGCTGAGGGAACTGGGGTTGTTTAGTCTGGAGAAAAGGAGGCTGAGGGGAGACCTTATCACTCTCTGCAACTACCTGAAAGGAGGTTGTAGGGAGGTGGGTGCTGGTCTCTTCTGTCAGGTAGCCGGAGATAGGACGAGAGGAAATGGCCTCAGGTTGAGGCAAGGGAGATTTAGGTTAGATATTAGGAAAAATTTTTTTACTGAGAGGGTTGTCAGACATTGGAATATGCTGCCCAGGGAAGTGGTTGAGTCACCATCCCTGGAGGTATTAAAAAAGAGTGTAGACAAGGCACTTCAGGACATGGTTTAGTGGGCATGGTTGATGGTTGGACTCGATGATCTTGAAGGTCTTTTCCAACCTAAATGATTCTATGATTCTGTGTTTCTGTGACTGGGACTACGCACCTGTCTCAGAGCGATTGGAGCTCTCAGTCACCCAGAGAATGAATGGATATGTGGCTGACTTACTGAAGGATTTTATTTATTGGGAAATGGCTGTGTACTTTCTGTAAAGTGAAGAACAATAATAAATACCTGGAAGAATAATTTCTTGTGCGTGCAGCCATCCTACATCAGTGATAAGCAAGTTTCACCTGCTCAATACAAGATATCTCTGTAAAATCAGGTTGAATCTTTGATTTAACATCTTTGATTCTATTTTTTTAAATCACATAAGGTATTTCTCAGAGGAAACATTGAAGAAAATTTAGTACAGCCATGGTAATATTTCTCACTAAATGTAGTTCTTTCAAATATAGCTGAACTTTTTCAGTTCAGCTGAAAAAGTTTGCATCAAAACTAAAGTTGCCGTCTGCATAGTTCATTGGCAAATGTAACGAACACGTGAAAGTGGTATTATAATGAAAACAGGTTCTTAAATACCTTGTAATAATGTAGTCTATAATCATAATTTAAAGATGATTGTTGTAAGTAAAATAAGACACTTTCAGCTTAAGTAGCCTGTTTGTTATAAACAAGAAGGCATGGCAACATAGCTTTGATTTCTTAGTGGTGTTGGAAGTTTCATAGTTGCTTTAATTTTGAATTCTTAAATATTCTCATAAATATGCTTCTTAAGTCTGATAGTTTTTCCTTTGCTTTCAGCTGAAACACTAACAAATGTCTTGGATTTCAAAAGAGATGCTGGCCTTTGGCATGGAGTATTAACAGTGAGTATTTGTATGAATTAAAAAAACTGCAGCAAGTTGCTTCTTTCAGGGGTAGTGTATTGGTATCAGAATGAGATCATAAACTCTCAAAACTGTTTATATTTCAATATTTATATTTTTCAGAATAAAGCGTTACTTTTTCAGTAAAACTGCACAGGCATAGCTTGTTTTTACTGACTATCCACATAGTCTTCACTAACAGTTAAATGTAAGAGTTAAACTGTAGCTGTGATGATTTTTTTTTTAAAGTATTGGTACATGCTGAGTATTCTTTGAGCCACTTGAAAGTTTATTTTTTAATATTTTTTCTTGTAGAGTGTTATGAACAGGATGCATGTCATCAGTATTCCCTATGCATTAATGAAGGTTAATCCACTTTCCTGGATACAGAAAGTCTGCTCATACAAAGGTAACCTTAAAGTATTTTTACTTAAACCATCTCTTTTTGGATGATTTAAAAAAAAAAAAAATTTAAAATTGTTTGTATAAAATGTCTGCTCTAGCTGAGGACACTGCTCTTTTATCCAACTGACGTTCTTAGCCACAGCTTTAGCAATTGGGTATTCCATTTCAGTATTATATGTACTGATGGATTCATTGATGAGTCACGTTGATGGCTTCTTCTGATAGACCTTTAAAGAAACTGTTTTCTCATCTCAGTATTTGAATTTATAGTAAACATCTAAATTCTATAATCAAGTCCATCTGGAGACATTGAGTATACATGTGTCATAGTAGTTAAATATTTGGCGTTTGTATTTGTTTTCTGTGTTTGTAATTTGTTTCATAAATTTATGTAAATACACAAAAATACTTATATATAATTGGTCTTTATTTTGTTCTGCTCATGCACCATAATTATTTGTTTATTTTCAGCCCGTGTAGCAGTAGTAAAATCACGTGATATGCACTGGTCACTTTTGGCTCAGAGGGATCAGAGAGATGTCAGTCTGAGTTCTTTACGAATGTTAATAGTGGCAGATGGAGCTAATCCATGTGAGTATGGATGCATTTTCTGAGTGTTAGTCCAAGGTGAACTAAAGCACACTGTAAATCACAGAACTCTGGGTCTGCACTGTGGGAGCTCATCAGCACTGGCTATAGTTCAACTTCAGCAAAACAGAGACAGCAGCAGTATTTCTTTGCCAAGGACACTAGAATGAAACGTGCATAGAAAGTGTTCTGAAGGATCTGTTCTTTACATAAAGAATAGTTGGGAATGTAATTTGAAGAAGGCTTTTAAAATTTCAGGTAAATCATAATGACAGTTTCAAAGTAGTTGCTCGTGTATTACATGTAGACATAAAATCTTTGAGTTGCAGTGTGTCTGATTTGTACGTGCCCCTAGGGCTTGTCTCAATCATGTGCAAGGACATAAAAATGGAAGCAGTCACAGCCTTAACTCAAAACCATGACAGCTATTAACTAGAGTGTGGGGTAGGTTCTTGCCTTTTTCTGTCAGTCATATGGTGGTGGCTTACAGGAATTTGAGGAAGCGGTTGGGAGGCTTTTTTTTTTTAACAGGCAAGAATATACCTTAGTTGCTTAATTTTGCTGTTCTCGTACACCAGAAAATCAATAGTATTTCAAATTCCTTGGAGTTGCATGATGAGAGGTCAGCAAGTTGTGATGGCGGAAGATGAAATCTTGAAATGGTCTCGCTATGATTATATTTGTTGTAAGCACTTTTTCAGAGCTGATGCTTAGAAAGTTAGGCTGTTCATTCTATAGTAAAATACTACTTGTATGCTAGTGATGCCACTGCTTTTTCATTGCTGTTTGCATTTCTTAGCTATATTTAGCTGTGTAAATTCATTTTTTTTAACTTTATCTTTTCATGAGTGCTGTGCTCTTACATGAATTGACATGAAATTATACCTAGGATGTAGTATAATCAGTGAAGTTTGCTGGTTTGCGTTATGTGCTGCAATTCCATGACTGTAAAATACAAAGCTGTAGGTGATGAGGTATCTTGCATTTTGGGCTGAGTGCTAAAGGCCAGGTAGAGTTCTGAACTGAAGGGAAGATATGTCAGAAGCATTTGATGAGAAACACTCATATGGGAGCTATATAGGAAGCTGACAGATACAGTTACCCTTAGTGACAAAATATTCTGATCACTGAAGGACTTTCAATGATGTTAAGTGTTACAGAGTGCTGCCAGAGAAAGAGAGTATGCAGTTGTGAATTTCATTCAGTGATTTAGTTGTTAACCACTGGGAGTTTTTTCTCCAAATCTAACATCTAATAAAAGGCTGGAATGTCTTTTAGACAGTTTTGAAAGTATATTGGTTTTGTGCACAGATGCAACCATAATTGTGTAGCTGAGCTGAAAGTAAGCATAGACTTTGAAATCCTGCAGCTCAAGCTTTCCTGCCCTTGGCAAAATGTTTCCAATTGTGTGATTGTTTTTTTAGGGTCAATATCTTCATGTGATGCATTCCTGAATGTATTTCAATCCAGAGGTTTGAGACCAGAAGTAATCTGTCCCTGTGCTAGTTCTTCAGAGGCGCTAACTGTTGCTATTCGCAGGTAATTCTCTTTTCTGAGAAGTGAACTGAAGCATTTCTTGACTATTGAAATGTATCTGGTGTTAAAATGGTGGTCAGAAAAGACCATTACCCACATGAAGATGCCCAAAGACCTAGCCAGAGGAAGTCTGAGGCTCGCAGGTATCTCCTTCACTGAAGGATGGGTGATTTTTGTTTGTTTTCTTTAAAAAGTTTAATATTTTCTAAAAGTAGTCAGCCATAAGGTTGGGGTGTTTTACTGCTTCGGAAAGCAAGGTCTCATCCTCACTGATGTTGCTGGAGGATGTTTATAAAATGCCCCAGGAATCAAGGCTATTACTTGTTTGGGAGGAGGAAGATGCTGAATCTTCAAGTAATTGCTTATATACAATGTCTTGTAAACAGGGGGCTAAAGAAAGAAAAAAAATATTTGTATCTGGATTTCTGGAGATAGCAAGGGATGCTCTGAAAAAAGGAAATACTTCGATTATTAATAGATGTAGGGATGGAATATGCTGGAATTTTTTGACAGTGGTTTCCATCAAAATGTTCTTTTTTGGAAAATCAGTTTCAAGAAAACTTGAAACAAAAAAGTTTGAGGTTTTGGAGAGCACTTTCTCTTGTGGGAGAACTGACATTTCCCAGTTTTAAAAAAATGCACTTAAAAGAACTGGTTTTTTTACAACAGCACCTGGAATCTTTTGCTCTGTTCCATCCTGAAAGTTGAACAGTTACACAAAATGGAGTTGTTGGTCCTCAGTCAATTCTGCTCAGAGTAAGAAGTGTCAAGCCCTCCAAACACTTCCTAATTTTTCCTGGTGTTTAGAAAATTTGGCCTTTGAATGCTTATTCTTGACAATTCTTTGCCCATAATAGAGCTAAATCCTCTCTGTAACTTTTTAGAGTGGGAGGAAGCTATGTGATGTTTTATTCTAGCTCTTTTTTCATCTGGATAAAATATATTACCAGTCTTGAACTCTTGTTTGTTTAAAATGAGAAACCATTATTTCTCTTAACCTTAACAAGCCTGAGAGACTTGCACAATGTTTTTGATGACCATACTGCCATTGGTCTGTTGATTCATATCTGATTTGACTTTCTTTTTTTCAGACCTCCAGAACTGGGTGGGCCTCCTCCAGGAAAAGCAGTATTATCTATGAATTGTCTGAGTTTTGGCGTGATAAGAGTGGATACAGAAGAGAAGTTGTCAGTGTTAACTGTACAGGATGTTGGTCAGATTATGCCTGGAGGTAGGAAAGCATTTCATGGAGGTTTAAGCATACTCCACATAAGTTATCTTTACTATTATACTTGTGCTGATGAAATAAATAAAAATATCAAATGATAAATATCTTTAAGGTACTTTGACTTACATTTTGACACATTACCTAAACTCCTGATGATTAAGTACTGTCTGAACTAGATTACTCAATGTTTTCAGTAGAGATTAGTCCACAATAAATTTGAATGACCATAGGTTTTGCTATGGGCAAATGCTTTTGGCTGGTCTGCAGAGTTGTTTTATTATTCACTTGTTAGCATTAATGCTGACTGACATACAGCTATGTAATAAGAAATACAGCAGAACAAAGCAAAATGTAAAGTGTAGTAAGAAATACTGTCTTTCATCCAGGAGTGATAGTCCATGTGTTAGAATAAAATAAAATGGAATAGAATATTTCAGTTGGAAGGGACCTACAACAATCATCTAGTCCAACTGCCTGACCAATTCACTGCTGACCAAAAGTAAAAGCTTGTTATTAAGGGCATTGTCCAAATGCCTCTTAAACACTGGCAGGCTTGGGGCATTGACCATCTCTCTAGGAAGCCTGTTCTGGTGTTTGACCACCCTCTTGGTAAAGAAATACTTCCTAATGTCCAGTCTAAACCCCTCCTAGCACAACTTTGAACCATTCCCACGCATCCTATCACTGGATACCAGGGAGAAGAGCTCAGCACCTCCCTCTCCACTTCCCCTCCTCAGGAAGCTGTAGAGAGCAATGAGGTTGCTGCTCAGCCTCCTTTTCTCCAAACTAGATAAACCCAAAGTCCTCAGCAAGAAAGACACACCCTTGGTAGAAGAGATGAAGTTAAGGAATACTCAAGCAAACTGCACGTGCACAAGTCCATGGGCCCTGATGGAATTCACCAATAAGTGCTGAGGGAGCTGTTTGATGTCATTGTGAGGCCACTCTCAATCTTTCCATGACTATGGCAACTGGGAGAAGTGCCTGAGGACTCGAGGAAAGCAAATGTCACTCCTGTCTTCAAGAAGGGAAAGAAGGAGAACCCAGGGAACTACGGGCTGGTCACCTCATCTCAAACTCTGCGAAGGTGATGGGAACAACTAATTCTGGAAAGCAGTTTCTCATGCACCTGGAGGACAAGAAAGTCATCAGGAGTAGTGAGCATGGATTCACCAAGGTGAAGTCACGCTTGACCAACCTGATCACCTTCTACGATGAAGTGACTGACTTGGAAGATGAGGGAAGAACACTGGATATTGTCTACCTTAACTTTGGTCAGGTTTTGGACACTGTCTCCTGTTAGATCCTCACAGAGGAGCTGATGAAGTATGGGCTGGAGGAGCAGACAGAGAAATGGACTGAAAACTGGCTGAACGACCAGGCCCAGAGGGTGGTGATTGGTGGCACAAAGTGTAGCTGGAGGCCAGTAACTAGTTGTGTAGCCCAGGGCTCAACACTGGCTCCAGTTCTGTTCAGCATCTTCGTTAATGACCTGGATGATGGGGCAGAGTTTATCCTCAGCAAGTTTGCAGATGACACCAAGCTGGAGGAATGGCTGATACACCAGAGGGTTGTGCTGCCATCCAGAGGGACCTCAACAGGCTGAGGGAATGGTCTGACAGGAACCTCATGAAGTTCAACAAGGAGAAATGCAAAGTCCTGCCCCCTGGGAAGGAATAACCCTGGGCAGCAGGACATGCTGGGAGCCAACTGTCTGGAGAGCAGCTTTGCAGAAAGGGCCCTGGGGTTCATGGTGGCCCCCAAGCTGAACATGAACTAGCAATGTGCCCTTGCGGCAAAGAAGGCCAATGGTGTGCTGGGCTGCATTAGGAGGAGTGTTATCAGCAGGTCAATGGAGGCGATTCTTCCCCTCTGCTCAGCACTGGTTAGGCCACAGCTGGAGTACTGTGTCCACTTCTGGGCTCCCCAGTACAAGAGAGAGATGGAGCTACTGAATTGAGTCCAGCGAAGGGCCACAAGGATGACTAAGGGACTGGAGCATCTCAGCATATGAGGAGAAGCTGAGAGAGCTGGAACTGTTCAGCCTGGAAAAGAGAAGGCTTGGGGGTGGATCTCGTCAACATGTACAAATATCAGAAAGGAGGTGATAGAGAAGACCGAGTCAGGCTCTTTTCAGTGGTGTCCCATGAGAGAACAAGAGCCAGTGGACACAACTGGAAACGCATGAGCTTCCCTCTGAACAGAAGGAAAAACTTTTTCTGCTGTGAGGGTGACTGAGCACTGGCACGAGTTGCCCAGAGAGGTTGTGGAGTCTGCATCCTTGGAGATACTGAAAAGCTGTCTGGACATGGTCCTGGGCAGCTGGCTCTAGGTGGCCCTCTTGAGCTGAGGGGTTGGACCAGATGACCTCCAGAGGTCCCTTCCAACCTCAACCATTCTGAGAGTCACAGACTCTGGATATCCCTGGAAACTGGTCAGTCCTGGATTAACCTCAGTTTCTTAATGACATCTGTTTGCAACACTGTGCTTCCTAAAGTAGGTAGATAGGGGTATTGTTCCCCAGCCCATTAAGTGGATTGAAGCAAAGAGGCTTTGTCTCTTCCCTGTTCTTCTCTTTTGAGGCTAGGCTGCTGAGTCATGCATTACTTGGAGAGAACACTCTGAAGAAGACAAATAAAGTTAGGGTGCCAAACCAGACCTAAAACTGTGGACAATGACTGGGATCTGTGTCCTGAAAGACCACTTAGTGCCCTCTACTCCAGAAGTGAAGATTGCAACATTTAGGTTGGTAGTGTAATGTTCCCTGGCACTGTCTGTCTGAGGGTACCACTAGCTTCAGGCCCTGTCCTGACCTGGTCTGGGTGTGCTTGGAGAGGATGAGATACAGATTTTTTGGAATTCTCCTTACCCCTTCAGGTTTACTATGTAGTGACCAAAGAATGTGATTCATTCTGGTCATGTCCTTGGCACCGGTGGCTTTGATGTTCTTCGTCCATTTATGAATCTCATGCCTTGCTGACCTGTGGTTCCAAAGCCCTCCTCTCTGTAGAGCATTTACTCAAGGTAAAGATGAAGGGGAGAGCCATCTTGTGCTATTTCAGCAACCACTTCTCTGTACATCAAGGCCCTCATTATGAGTAAGAGGAGGCAGACACCTTTCCAGTCTGCTGATAAAAATTTCAGCCATCGTGCAGCAAGTGGCACTGATCTTATTTCATTTTCCTCATTACTCCCAGAAGCACTTTGCAACCAATTAGTTTGGTGGTTCTGTTATTCTTACTGAACTTAAATTCACATTCACAGCTTCTTCCTGCTACCAATAAAAGACTGAGCAGAAGCTCTGCAGTTCATACCAAAATAAAGGGAAGGGAGCCCTTCCTGTGGGGATTCATGTCTGACCTGCTTATTTTAACTGCAGAAAACTGAACAGCTCTGTTCTGACCTTCTGGGTAGATAGGCAAGATATTCAAAATGTTCTCCTGGGAGCAAGGGCTTTGTGGCCAGCAGGAGGGGTTTAATACATTCCTAGGTATGTTCATAGAACTGTATGCATTCTGCAGATCCTCTTAGAGTTCAGTGTGCCAGGCACCCTCAGGCAGGTGGTATCTGGGCGGGTCTGTGAGAAATCCTTGAGTCCTCTTTGCTCTGGCAGTTACCATTATATCACCATCTCTCTTGTCTGCTTTTGATCCTTGAGCATACTTATAGCATCATAGATCTGAGTCAAGATAGGTGGGCCAGGTAATTTACAGAAAAATAACATCTACTTAACACTCTAGGAAGTAAGGTTGTAAAGGTAGGCCGATGTGAATATAGCCATCAAGGATAATGGCTATGCGTTGTTGTATGGCCTCAATGTGAGTGCAGGAGAAAAAAGAGTATGGTGACCTAATCTGGCTTAATGGCTTCTGAATTGCTTCATCTGACTGTTCAAATTCAGGTTGTTAAACTTGTCTGCAAAGACCCAGAAGATGGCCAGCTGCAACTGGCTTCTGTGTCTCAACAGAATGGTTATTCTTCCACTTCAGGTAGAATACAGATGGCATTGACTGTTACTGCTGTCTGGTTCAGCTCTTTGCACTACTGATGTCCCCTTGAAACCCCACTGAAATTTAGCTGTGCTCCCAGTCTACTTAAATCATGGGTTAGTCACAGGAACATGGAGGGAACAAGTTTGCATGCCCTTCAGGTAGTCATGGATCCTTTGGTGAACCGACAGAGGTTGAACTTGATGTTGGTTCAGTTTTAAAGAGTTCAAAAAAGTGGTATTTGATGCAGGATCAATTAAAATCTTTCTTTGGATCAATTTATCACATGGAGATCCTCCTGGCTTTGCTGTAGGCTTGCTCTCTGGGCAGAGTGTGCTTGACTACACTAAAGCACAAAGCAGCCTACAGTTGTGTTGCACCTTAAGCTACTCTTTGTATGCAACCATTACAGCTGTAAGTCCACTTGGTTAATCTTCTGTAGTGCATTTGCTCAGTGGCAGGTTCAAGTCTGCCTTATGATGTTGGAAGAATTACCTGTATTTTTGTGGGTAAGTAATTTCACCTTCCTCTTCTATGTAAGTCATTAATGAAAAACATGTCCCTGTCCTTGTGAAATGCTTAATTGGGTAGAAGAGGGATCTTTGACAAAACTCCTTCTCCTTTGTCAAATGCCTTGGAGCATTGTCTGGCAAATCTAATGGACCCTTCTGGTTTAGAATGCTATTGACAGACAATTGACAACACTACCATGACTTTCTACATTAGTAAGAAACATTGAGTGACTTGTCTGATTGTGTGAGGGGAGAACAGTGTGTACCCATTTAGTGCCTTGAAGTGATTTGACTTGTAATTGATGGCTATTGCTATTTTAAATTATAGTAGTTAGGTGGCAAAACTAGCTGTGGGTTAAGCAGAAGTTGGGCAACTTAATGGATTAACTCTTAAAACTCTGATCAGCATTGGGCTTTCAGTAGCTGGGGCAGATTAGCTTCAATTTGACCAAATGATAAAAATTCCAGGTCTGAAGGTGTATTTTTAGCAGAAATTTGACTG